CACGAACAATATTTTGCTACGTTCTCTTCTTTATTTTCTAGGGATTATAAACGCCATCTCAGTATCAAATTACAAGTTTTATTTTCCTTTCTTTGCCTTTTTAAATATCTTACTTAGCTCATAGATTACACACGTATTTTTCGTAATTTAATCTCCAATATTTAGAGATACATCATGCATACAAGAATGTTAGTATTACATTCTTTTCTTGATTTTCTAGGAACTAGGAAATACAAAATGTATTCTGAGTACATTTTCCCTAGTGGGCTGTAGCCTCCCCTCTCTCCTCCCTGTACTTGGCCGAGCCCAGCACGCCAGCAGCCCCTTAGGCCCATTAGCGTGCCGCGTGGACACCGCGTGAGCGCCGCGTCCGCACCGCGACCGCGAACCGCCTCTCTCCATTGTCGTCTTCCCGATCTATCTCATCCATTCCGAAAATCTCGTCGACAGCTCACCACCGCGCCGCGCACGCCGCGCTCGAGCACGTGATCATGGCCAACGAACCGCCTTTATGCGTTGTCACCTTGCGTGCGAACGGATGAGCATGAGCAACAGTCGCTGGAGATATTTTGGGGCAGAACCGACCTACCGTGGCTATAAAAGCCGGCCATGGTCGCCACCGTAGAGCGTCCCATCGAGCTCGAGCACGCGAAGAAGAAGTCGAAGTGGTCCGAATCGCTACCGAGCTCTCAGCGTCCGGAGTCGCCGTGTCGGAGTTCCGACTCGGCCTGCGACCACCGTGGTCGGAATCACTGTCGTCCGACGCTCGCAGTCCGCCCTCGCCGTAGCCGAGCACCGCCGCACTGCTCTGCTTCTTCCCCCTTCTTCCTCTGCTCTGCTTCTCGCGCCCGTGCGTGGACGAGACCGAGGTCGTCCTCCTGCCGTCGACCCCGCTGTGACTCCACCAAGAAGCGTCGCTGCCCGGAGCCCAGCTCCCACCGGCGCCCTGCCCCTCCGCTCTCCCTCCTTGCCTTGCCTTCTCTCTGTCGCTCTCCCTCTATTCTCTCTATTGACCGCGCGAAAGGGAAGAAAGCAGAAGCCAGTAGCAAGCGCCCGCCACCACCTTGCCCTCTTGCTAGCTCGCCTTGCCTACAGCCGCTGCCGGCATGCTTCCTCTCTCTCTCTCTCTCTCTTTCCCTCTCTTTCTCTCGCTCTCTCTCTCTGCTGACCGTGCCGAAGGGAAGGGGAAGCTACGAGACCGTCGGACCGACGGCATCCAAGACCAAGCGCCTGGCCACGTCGCTCCAACCAATGGGAGCAGGCCATGCCATCTCGCAGGACCAATATGGCAGCCACATGGTTCCACCTCTCCTCCATTCTGTGGACCTGGTCCACAAAGAACAGAGAGAGGAAACGAGCCGGTCCATAGATCGGTCCAAGGAACAGCGCTGACGACTTTAGACTGACGCCTAGGGACCACATGTCAACCTCAAGGCCAGGCAGGAACTGCTAGGTGCACACGGGAATTGTACACAAGAATATAAAAGGTAAGCTTATTAATTGTGGAAAAATCTCAGAAAATTTATAAATAAACTAGAGCCACCCTAGATCATACCTAGATAATTGCCACTTATTTTTTCATTAGATAAAATTGTAGAAATAATTTGTATGTTTCATTCCATACGCGTTTAGTCGGTAAACTTTAGTAATTTATATCTCGCCCGTTTTAATTCCGAATTCCGTAATTCTTTCACTAAAAATCTTCTAAGATAAAACCCTATATAACCATGCCCTCTTTCCTAATTTTTGGTGTCCATTTAAACTCTAGATATGTTTGTTTTTCATTTATTTTATTTAATAATAAGCCGTAGTAGCATCTATCACCGTAGTAGTAGTTAACATTGTATATTCGTGTAGGTGCATGTACCATGCCACCTACCTGAATATGTCCGTACCCAATCACCTAAATAGTAGGACACGTATGCATACAAGGATACGCCCGATACCCGGGTATACGCCTGTGCATGGCTAACTTTATATTCCGCCTTTCTTTATTCTAACTAATCTTGGGCACATACATATGCATATGCGTATGTGTCACTAACCCTGGTGGACCTGTAGAAGTTGGGCAAGTCATCTATGACGACTTGGTCGGGCTTTCTCTTTAGGTTCACATAGTAGTGAAGCCTAATAACAATGTGGTCTGGCTTTCCACCAGATCACCACCACCTTAACCCAACCTATAGGAACCATACCATATGGATGAAATCCCTTCATCCAAACTTTACTTCAAATTGACATAATAATGATAACCCTAGATAACGACCCATCACCTAATAGGACCAACTCATCTAGGATTGTTTCCTTTATTTTGATTGATTATGCTTGTTTTACATGCCTTGCTTGTTATTTTTCTTGTTTGTGCTTTCTTGCTTGTCGATGCTAGACCGCGTAGGATAGAAGACATGGAGAGAACCCGATGGAGTCCAGGAGATAGGAGTAGGAGACACAGGAATCGGATGAAGATATAATCGTCAGCGAATAGAGGCAAGTCCTAACACCCACCTATCCCTTTCCCTCCACTTCATTTACCATCCCTTAACTACTCACCTTCCTCCACCACCACATTTTGCTAGCCTCCACCATAAACCCACCATACTATATCCCCACCAATTAATAAACTTAACTTATAATACTTAAATTCTCTTTTATGAATTAATGGAATTATAATAGGTCATGAGTTCGGTTATGATAACGTGAACATTGATAATTAACTTGATATGATATAAGTTTGACTATGATATTATGATGAGGTAATGGTTACCTTGATATGAGCTATGAACCTGAGGTTAATAACTATGGAACTTAAAACTGGTAAAACTGGACTAAACCTCGACAGGGGGCGAGTGGGGGTAATTTATGGAGATAAATTACCTTGGCAGGAGCGCCTGGAGAGGGTTCCTGTGAGAGATACTCGCCTCGGTCACATAAGGACCGGTTCATAGTCTCTCTCGCCTAGTGAGATATTACGTACAACCACATGTCTATATGGGTAGACTTGATCTCACATCCCGTTAGATAAAAGTATAATTTCTGCTAGGAGGCCGGTGTTGGCAGCGGAATATCAGGAGCTAGCACAGATACTATGTGATCTTCTGTGGCCCGGTTGGTGTGGTTGCTATGTGATCCTCCGCGTTAAGCCCTTTGATTTTTGTCGCGCTCGAGCCCATGTTATTGTATGTTTGGCCATGTTCGAGCCCATATTATTGGTGATTTGGTATCATCGGCACTATTATGTTGGGATGATTTCGTATCGTCCGAGATTATATGATGGGATGATGTGGTATCATTTGAGATTATGAGACGGGACGATTTGGTATATCCTCCCGAGTTTAGTGTGTTTTCCAACCCTTGCGAAGCCGCGGTAGAGTTATATGGACATCTAAGATCGCGTATATTAGGTATGGGATCTCGTTAGACCTGTCTAAGCCATGACGATGGTGTCGGACTATGTCTATCTTGTGGAGAAATTTGTACACCTCTGTAGAGTTTATTGAATCTATTCTAATAGTCATGTCATTGGAATGGGCAGATGTTGGGATGAGAGCAACTATGATTAGACTTTTACAACTGTGATAATCTGGTAAGATGTATTTTACTAATGTGGTAAACTATAATTAACCTCGAAAACTGGTGAGAATGGTAATACCTGCCAGGATCCAACCTATAATTATAATTACTTCACCCTACCACTTTTACCTTAACCACCTCCATCACTTTAACCCCTTCCACATATAGCCTTCCCCTTCCACCTCCACTCCACCCAAAGTTTATGGCTTGCTGAGTACTTTATGTACTCAACCCCCCCCCTCCATTCTATGTTTTTAGGAGTAAAGCTACAGGAGCACAAACTCGGAAGAACTATTGGAGCAACGCAAGGATAGGACACCCGGAGTATACCCGAAAGATGGAACCGTGCGGCTACACGAAGGAGCTACACTAGGACTACGACGATTGGGATATAGGAACACGCCTAAGGAATAAGTGTAGGGTTACGTCCGCACTCCAAGTTGCCTATAAGATTGGAGCCATGTTGACATAGGACCGTTGTCTTAGAACTCTGATATACGATATAAGGCCAATGGCCCAAGCTATGTAACCCGAACCATGTAATATGTTTTCTCCATTAGTAATAAAAGTATGATTTTTTATATCAATCTTGTTTGAATTGTTCGTATTAGCTTATTTGAATTGTTCGTATCAGCTATTGATCCAGGGACTGATACGTGATGCACAAAGGACCCTAAATTAGGGGCCCGACAGGATGCTAGCAGGGCGACGAGCCTAGGTAGTTTAATTCCTGAGTAATAGGCATGGTGAATTCTCGGCTAGGGGAGGGGCGCTCGATTCATATACTTTACCTCGGCCTAGTGCGCAGCCCCATTGGCACGTCATTGTAATCAAAACTCTTTCTCGATCTTAATACAAAGATGCGCAAACCTTTTGCGTATTCGAGATTTTTTTTTAAATTGGAACCTCCACTAACTGAGTTGTACTACTCCGTTTCATAAAGTCTCGCTACGAGACTCATGCTGGTCAAATTTTCTTATGTTTGATTAGATTTGTAAAAATATTAACAATATTTATAACTTCAAATAAGTTTATTATTAAAATATATTTAATGATTTATCTAATGATACTAATTATGTATGTTAATAATTTTTAATATATATTTAGTTAAAGTTAACCGTGTTTGACTTATGAGAAAACGAGACGAGGAGGGAGTAGACATTAATATATACTAATTATGTATGTTAATAATTTTTAATATATATTCAGCTTCACATCAACTCAGTCAGAGCAGCCTGATTACAATCATGCCGTCCATCAAGCAGCTTCAGTTCCTATTCGTCGAATAAGACTGCCATGGTCGACGCATGATGTGCCTTGTTTCCTCTGTATACAATACGTTCCGGGCGGATTCAAAAGTCAAAACTTCATCTACGTTCGTGATTGAAGGCTACTAGGCACGAAGCGACACTTAGCTCCCACGGTCGGTCATGGCGGGAAGCAACGGCACTCGTCTCGCATTAGGCATCCTCCTCTGCTGCGCCCTCGCCTCCACGGTCATCATCACAAGGCCATGCACCTACACCCTGTCAAGAACCATCCTCGCCGCTACCGGCCTCAATCCTCTCCTCATCTACTGCGCCAAAGACGGCTCCGAGGCCCGGCTGTCCCAAGGCGACGACGCCAACGAGCCCGGCGGTGGCGGCAGGCCCATAGTCACCGACGTACTGTCGTGCGGGGACTCCAAGCTCCCACCACACGCGCTCCCACCCTTCCAGTGCTGCCCGCAGACGCCGGCATCTGACACTCGTGTCACCAACTTCACGTTCCCAGACCCGGCCGAGCCGCTCCGTAGGAGGCGGCCCGCGCACGACGCCAGCGCGGCCGAGGACATGGCCAAGTACGAGCGCGCGGTGGCGCTGATGAAGGCGCTGCCGGAGTCGGACCCGCGCAGCTTCTACCAGCAGTCCAGGATCCACTGCGCCTACTGCACCGGCGCGTACCGGCAGGCGGGGTCGCCGGAGCTGCCCGTGCAGATCCACTTCTCGTGGCTCTTCTTCCCCTTCCACCGCGCCTACGTCTACTTCTTCGAGCGCGTGGCGGCGAAGCTCCTCGGCGACCCCGGGTTCACCGTGCCGTTCTGGAGCTGGGACGTGCCGGAGGGGATGCGGATACCCCCGGCGTTCGCCGACGAGGCGTCCCCGCTCTATGACCCGATTCGGAACCCGAGGCACGCGCCACCGAGGGTTGTCGATCTTGATTACTCGCACGCGGACAAGAATTACACCGATGAGCAGCACATCCAGCTCAACCTCCGTACCATGTACAAACAGGTCGATCGAGGATTAATAGCTTGCTATATATACCTCTTTGTCTTCTCTACATACATGATCTGCATAGCATGCATGATTTAGATGATCTCCGTACCATCTAGTTTTGGGAGTGTTCCTACTTCCTAACACGTGTGATGATCTGCATAACATGATTCAGATGATCACCAACGCGCCGCTGCCGTCCCTCTTCCACGGGCAGCCCTACCGCGCCGGCGACCGGCAGAGGCCCGGCGTGGGCACGGTGGAGCAGCGCCCGCACAACACCTTGCACGTATGGACGGGCGACATCTCGCAACCCAACCACGAAAACATGGGCACCTACTACTCTGCTGCCCGCGACCCCATCTTCTACCTGCACCACCCAAACTCCGATCGCCTGTGGATGGTCTGGCTCGAGCTCGACCTCGACCTCGACGACGACTCCGACCGGCCGCGCCACTCGGACTTCACGGACCCGGACTGGCTCGACTCGTCGTTCCTGTTCTACGACGAGGACGCCCGGCTCGTGCGAGTTACCGTCCGTGACATGCTCGACATGGGGAGGCTGAGGTACACGTACGCGGAGGTCGACATGCCGTGGCTCAAGGCGCGGCCGCTTGTCACCCCTCGCGGAACAGGCCCCCCGCACCGGCTGAAGTCTGTGTCCGTCCGCTTCCCGGTTTGGCTCGACGCGGCGGTGACTGCACAGGTGAGGCGGACGGGAAAGCCACGAAGCCAGCAGGAGGAAGAGGTGCTGGTAGTCGAGGGCATCGAGGCTTACAGCGCGGACTTCGTCAAGTTCGACGTGTACATGAACGCAGTGGATCACGAGAAGGTCGGGCCGGGCGGGCGGGAGGTGGCTGGAAGCTTCGTGTCCCTGAAGCACCCCGGCGGCGGCGGCGAGTTGGCTGTACAGACCAGCATGAGGGTGGCGCTGAACGAACTCCTGCAGGACCTGGGCGCAGAGGGAGACGACAGCGTGACGGTGACGCTGGTGCCTGTGGAGGGGAGGGTCAGGATCGGAGGCCTGAAGATAGTGTACATGACAGAGTGAGATTACAGCACACACGAGGTGCTTGTGCTGCATCGTCAGCGTTATGATGATTTATGAACAATTCCTCGGAACGTCCATATATATGTCTGGAAAACATCAAATAAAACTGTCAAATTTTCACTCACCTGGGCAATATCTCGTCAGATCATCACTGCGTAAATGTAAATGATCCCATCTAACGGTCAAAACACTATTATTTTCCCAAAGGAAGGATTGAGTAGCCACATTTGTAAATCTTAATTATATGAAGCTAGAAAAACCAAAGATTTACAGCAACGAACAAAAGGAGGGAAGTGCACAATATTAATCAATCTAATAGCATTACTAATTCGAGACACCAAAGGAAGCTCTAAGTTAATTATTTTTGCAATTGTGCTATTTGTAGTTCTGGTGTTGAGGAGACATGTATATGCATCTATTTTTTGAATGCCCATTTAGTACTGCCTGCTGGAACTTTGTTGGTATACGCGGGAACTTTGAACTGCCCTGCTTGGATATGGTGTTACAAGCAAGAAGTGATTTTGGGAGAAGCTTCTCCAGAGAAATTCTTATCACTGCATGTTGGACCATCTGGACCTCAAGGAACCGACTCATCTTCGATGCCATCCCCTGTTCTTTTATCAGTTGGAAAGAAAGCTTCAAGAATGAAATTGGCCTGGTTTGCATCAAGGCCAAACCCAGCCTTGCAGGCGCCTTAAGATTATGGTTAGAGAGTCTGCTTTAGTTTTCTTTCTTTTTCTGTTTTGGGCTTTGCAAGCTCGTGGTAAGCACAACTCGTGCATTCTGTACTCTTTTTATTCTAAGCATTAATACAAAAAAGGTGGGGCAATTCCATCACTGAGCCCCACAAAAAAATTATTTTTGCAAAATATGCTAGGCAAAGATATCCTCAAAATTCTCACAGTAATAAAAAACACCTGACCTTTAATTAATTATCAACAATGGCTATTGGATCTATTATATTTTCTAAAATATTACTCACATCTACCATTATGAAAAATATATAAAATAAAAATAATTCTCTAAATTCGCACCTAAACTACCCACCTCTATCATTATGAAAGATAATTTCAAATCATCCTCCTAAACTTGCATATAAATGATATATACAACACGACCATTATGATAGATAATTTAAAGTAGCTCCTTACTAAAACCTATCATTACAAAATATAATTGTTGCAACCCGATGGTCGTTCCAAATTTAAACTTTTTAAATTAGGCAAAGAAGGCTGAGAAAACTAGCCCAAGACACTTCTCAAATTGGCCCAGGTTGTTTTGAGCTGCTGCTGGGCTGAGGCTGCGAAAGCCTGCCCAAGCCTTGTTCCAAACCAGCCCAAGCCACTTTTCAAACTGGCCTAGGCTGATTTTGGCACATGAACAACTGCACAACTAGTCAAAACGGAGAGGTCCAACTTTTTCTAATTTTTATTAGATCTTATTACAAATTGCTTTCGTAGTGTCCTCGCAAAAAAAAAATTGCTTTCGTAATGGCATAAGATCAAACCATCTCAATATGAAAGATGTCGTTTTGCACTTTTCATCATACTCTAAAAATCTCTTCCAACCCGGCCTGTTGTAACAGAACCCCTGTTGTCCGAGCGGGTTCTTGGCGTTGGACGATGATGAACTGTCCATGGTGAATGGTTTTCGAGATGCAATCTATTCTTGGGAATAAAAGGCTCTGATGACCATGTGAATTGATCAGAGGCGCTTGGAATGTGAGCGGAACGTCGGCTCTCTATCTTGAGTAGTCCGACAGGTACGTGTCAATTACATCGAGGACGAGCCCCTCGCGTGGCCATACAAATAGATGTGAGTACAGATGCTAACAAACCAAGAAAGCTCTGCCGTGAGTTTGTTACAACAAGCTATCTTCACGTTTGACTACAACACAAATAACTAACGGTCATGCAAATCAAGAGTTTGCTAGCTGATATTTTATACAACTCCACAACCTATCCTATCGAAGCCACCGGAGATAATTATCACGTCTTCTTCCAACAGTCCATCGAGCAACATAACAACGGTAGCGAGAAATGAACAACTCAGCGAGCCAATCAGATTGCAGTGAGCGATGGAATTGACCAGAACACATGAATATGAATAACATATATGTAATGAAGAGAGGTAATATAAATATTACTACATATATTGATATTAAAACTGATTGAATTTTGCTAATACTGGAATAATGGCTGAGAATAAAATCAAAGGAAATATCTCGAGCAGCGGATACGTTTTCATGAATTTTACCGAGTTGAAAAATTGGATCATGCTGAGAAATAGTAACATGAGAATACAGATGAGAACTTGTCTCTTTGGTTCTTCAATATTCAGGATAGTAACGACGTGCAGATAGTAGCCACATAGCTAGCAAGATGGCCAGTATGGATAATGAAAATGATACCGCAATTTTTTTTTCTCTCGAATAATGATACCGCAAATTTTACTTCATAATAAATACAGTTTTGACTTCGGTAGAGTCTATGGAGCTGAGATCGATATTTATGATGGTCGCTATTTTTGCAATTTGGCCTGAGAAAAGCGTTCAAATAAAAGAATTATAAAGCAAATACATGGAAGAAAGGGTTTTACTAGGGAATGAGTGGTTGAGAGATTTATTTACCTGAAGACCTCAAAGAGTGCTATGACGATCCAAGCACAACAGTGATGCACATTCAATCTTTACATAGCAACCACTACTGTCCTTGGATCATTCTTAGCAGATCCTGATGTGGGTGACGAATTTTTCTGTGCGTTTTTTCGGTACGCACAGAAAAATTACCATTATTATGTCGGTTTCAAAATATCCTGATAGAAAAATACGTAAACCCACAGAATAATTGTATGATTTTTTTGTGCGTGGCAATACACACACGGAAAAATAAGCACTCATAGAAAAATACAATTTATTCTGTCGGTTCTTTAAAAACGCACAGAAAAAATATATGCACGCATAGAAAAAATGTTATTATTCTATCGGTTATTTTAAAACGCACAGAAAAAACATACACACGCACAGAAAAAACATACTCAGCGCCCCCTCCCCCTCCCTTCTTCTTCCTCCGCACCCGTCTTCCTCCGTGCCCGAACCCTAGCGCCCCCTCCCCCTCCCTTCTTCTTCCTCCGGACCCTGACCCCGGCCCCCCTCCTTCTTCTTCCCGGCAGACTGGCCCCAGCGCCCCTCCCCTCCCTGCCGCCGCCCCTCCCCTTCTTCTCCCCTTCTTTCCTGGCGCCGCCCCTCCCCGGCCTTCTTCTTCCCTGGCGCCGCCCCTCCCTCTCCCGGATCCGGCCGGTGGAGGGCGGTGGCGGCCGGATATGGGCTCTGGTGGTGGCGGGCGGCGTGGCGGCGGGCTTCATGGCACTGGCATGGTGGTGGTGGTCTCCGGCGTCGCCCCTCCCTGGCCTTCTTCCCCGGCGCCGCCCCTCCCTATCCCGGATTCGGCCCTCCCTCTCCCGGATCCGGCCGGTGGAGGCCGGTGGCGGTCGGATCTGGGCTCTGGTGGTGGCGGGCGGCGTGCAGCGTGGCGGCGGGCTTCGTGGTGGTGGTGGTCCCCGGCGCTGCCCCTCCCTAGCCTTCTTCCCCTGCGCCGTCCCTCCCTCTCCCGGATCCAGAGCTGTTGGAGCTACTACCACCATGGGTATGTATTCACTACTGGAGCTGCTTCCTCCACTGCTCCTGTTTTATTAACAATAAGATGACCTTTTGGTTGCATTGTTGGGTTGTTCCAGCTGGTTTAGTAGTAGTAGCACCTCTGATTTGTTGTAAGAAGAAACTGCACTGCCATTTTGATTCATGAAAATCACAAGTAGAACTATACTAATATAATTCACGATTAGTAGTGCATCAAATATTTCTTAAACATATATGAGCAATGAGCTGTCAGTTTGATCTAAATGGGAGCCCTTCATTGTCTTTTATTAGTAACTTGACATCTTTAAAAATCACAAGTAGAACTATACTAACATAATTTACTGTAATGTAAGAAATATACATGGATGGACCACTCAAATAATGTCATTATATTTGAATTTGAGGGAGCAATGTAATAAGAAAATTTTGCTGCAAAGTTAAAATACAATTTTAACTTGTTTGTTTTGTTACCCTTGTTGCTTTTCAGGTGAGATGCTATGAAAAAAGTATCTTGAATATCTTGCATATATCAACCTGATCAATCATTTTGATATGTGATATTTGCGGAGCTGAGATGATATGGAACCCCAGTCTCGTGCCGCGCTGCTCTCCCCTTCCCTAACTATGCCTTGTGACTTTTTTTTTGTTTTGTACTACTCTTGAGTGGCTGTGATGAATCAAGTTTCCATTAGAGAACTTCTGCACTTTAGCACCTTATGAGCTGGTACTTGGGATATTTTGTTCTGTTTGCTGCTTAACTAGGATGGCTTGTACCAATACAAGCAATCAGTTCTGTGGCCAGTTCAATTCTCATTAGAGAGAGAGAGAATTAAATTAAGCTCCAGGTGAAATTAAGTTGCAGTTGTCATGCTGATAATAGGTAAATCTGAGCCATTTCTCGAGTTCTTTTGCTCTCGTTCTTTTGCTCCAGGTGAAATATATGTAGTTCTTGTGCTTTTGACATACTACTCTCTAATGGATCTCGAATGACCAATAGTTTCTTTTTTATTAGCTCAGTTCAATAGAGCTCTGTGATTTTTGCATTGTTATTTGTAGAACATGATTTTTTTTGCACGCAAATCATATATTTGTTGCCTTGGACTGTGAAACTTGGGTAATACTTTTAAATGTGAAATTTCTGGAGATGGTCACTGTCTTGTGGTATTTCTTGTGAAATTCTGGTAATTATATACTTTCAAATGTGAAATTTCTAGAGATGGTCACTGCTTGTGTGGCATTTCTTCTGTGAAATTTTGGTAATTATATACTTTTAAATGTGAAATTTCTGGAGATGGTCACTACCTACCTGTCATTTCTTTTGCACTTGTAGATTTGTAAGTTCTTCTTGTCTCTTGCAGCTGTA